TACGATGAAGGCTTCACTTCAATCAAGCCCAGGAGCACACCCAGCTCTCTGCCACCTCCATCTCGTAACTTGTGCTGTTGTGCTGTTGGTTCAACTGCCGCCTCCCCATCTTCAAGGCCAGCCCAAGAACTGTCTCCACAAGAAGATCCTTTCTCCCTAGATAGCCTTCATCCTCCTCACTGCCTCCCCAGCCCTGACCACCAACGGCATTTGAGATGCCACCCCCACTGGCCCTTACCCACAGTGGGCCAATTACCGCTTTCCATTGGTTACTCCCCAGCAGGTGCCTTCTCATAAGCTTATTTGGCGTATGCCTCCCTAAGCAAGTGCTAAAGGTATCGTAAGTGCTCAGTGGACACTGGTACTGTTGATTAGTGACTAACAATTAACAATAGTTGGTATCTATGTAGCATGCGCATTCCACAGTGCTTCACATACATGATCATAGGGTCACTGTTTACTACAGTAGCTGAAATCCTCACAAACTTATTAATGCAATATTAGCTTCATTTAAATAAAAAACCTGAGGTGTTGAAGAATCAAGGGATTTATGCTGATTCAGATGCTGGTTAACAAATTAATCAAAATTAATAAAATTTAAGGCGATTCAAATCCACCTCCTCATGGATAAGCGTTTCACAGCATATGTCCACCTGAGAAGTAACCTAGGAAAACCTTTTATCTAGAAAATGACATATTTATTTAGTGAAGTAATAAAAGCTTTTCACATAAACTGGGTCTTGCTAGCCGAATCATTTAACAAAACTTTTTACTTAATAGTGACTTTATTTTCATCTTTAAAAACTTAACAAGTAATACATATTTGTTCTAGAAAAACTAGAAAATAAATCAAGGGGAAAGTTCATAATCCCACCATCTAAAGTCAACAACTATCAATAGATAGCTCTCTTTTCACATATTTTTCTTCAAATATATGTAGATCCCCTTCTTTGAACAGAAAATGAAATGTGTATGTGTGTGTATCTTTTTTTAATTTAATAGGAGCAGTGTGAATATATTTGCATGTCAAATATACATCTATGTTCCTATTAATGACTGCATGACTTACAAGCTATTCCTCTGTTTTTGTAGCTATAAGCTGGCTCATATTTCTCTTTTTTCTTTATTTTTGAGACAGGGTCTGTCACCCAGGTTGGAATGCAGTGGTGCAATCTCAGTTCACTGCAGCCTCCACCTCCCAGGCTCAAGCCATACCCCTGCCTCGGCCTCCCAAGTAGCTGGGATTACAGGTATGTGCCACCATGCCCAGCTGATTTTTGCATTTTTAGTAGAGACGGAGTTTCGCCATGTTGGCCAAGCTGGTCTTGAACTCCTGACCGCAAGTGATCCGCCCACCTCAGCCTCATAAAGTGCTGGGATTATAGGTGTAAGCCACTGCACCTGGCCTCCAATTATTTCTTAGGATATTCCTGGAAGTAGAGCTTATAGGTCAATGATAAGAACCTATTTTTAAGATGCTTTTTAAATGAAATACAAGTGATAAAACAGATTTAGGGTACATGCTAATTTTTTAGTACTTTGATGTGCTGAAAAAATTTTTCACCAGTTAAAACTCCAACGTTTTAAAAATAAATTCAAATAATTTAAATAGATGTTTTTCCACATTTCAGCCACTTC